TCTTCTCTTTAATTAATTATTATTTATAATTAGAAGTTCTTGCTTAGTAATACTATTTATTAATACGAAATTTAAGTTGCAATTAACTATAGTTCCTTAAAACGAATCCGTTACTTAGTAACGAATCCGCTGTATATTAATCCCTTTAACGAATCCGTTATTTACTAGATTCTTCTCTCGAAACGAATCCGTTAGTAACGAATCCGTTACTTAATAGAATAGTAACTACGGTCTCAACTCCCTGTAATACCGTAGTATTAGGAAAACCTAAATAGCTCTTTCGTAATAGTACTTTAATTCTATATACAATTATATATTTAATTATAAATATATAACCCTCTATAAGAACCCCCCTATATACGGTCGTAAACGGCTACAAGCGTATAACCCTCTATAAAAATCCTATTAAGCGACCCTATATACGGTCGTAAACCCGGCTACAAGTATATAACCCTCTATAAGAATCCTACTATACAACTTATATACGGTCGCGCACCCGGCTATAAGTATATAACCCCCTATAAGGACCTTATTGTACGACCTTATACTTGGTCGCGCCTACCTTAATTGGTCGCTCTTACTTTAGCCGGTCGCTCTTGCCTTCTCTTATATACCCTACGACCTCGGGTCTAGGGAAAGTACGGATAAACGAGCTAAGTTGCGACTTTTTAATTCCTGCGAAATTATTTAATATAGGAAATTTTAAAAATCGACTTATAACCACCAAATTCAACCCTACTATAGAACCTTTTTAAAATAAGTACCGGGTAAGTAAGAGACTATTTCTTTAATTATATTAATTATTTCTATTAGTAAATAAAGTACTAATTTCAAATGTAGGGTAAGTAAGGCACTTTCTCTTAACTAAGTTGGCCAGCTTTTTTTATATATATAAGTAGTATAATAGTTAATTTAAATATAGGGTAGGTAAGGCACTTTCTCTCGGCCAAGTTGGCTAGCTTTTCTTATATATATAAGTAGTATAGTAGTTTATTTAAATATAAGGTAAGGAATGTAGGGTAGGTAAAGTACTTTCTCTCGGTTAAATTAGTTAGCTTTTCTTATATATATAAGTAATATAATAGTTTATTTAAATACAGGGTAGCGAATGTAGGGTAGGTAAGGCACTTTCTCTTAGCCAAATTAGCCAGCTTTCTTTATATATATAAGTAGTATAATAATTAATTTAAATATAGGGTAGGTAAGGCACTTTCTCTTAATTAAGTTAGTTAATTTTTCTTATATATATAAGTAGTATAGTAGTTTATTTAAATATAGGGTAGGGAATATAGGGTAGGTAAGGCACTTTCTTTCGGCTAAGTTGGCTAGCTTTTCTTATATATATAAATAGTATAGTAATTTATTTAAATACAGGGTAGGGAATGTAGGGTAGGTAAGGCACTTTCTCTCGGCCAAGTTGGCTAGCTTTCTTTATATATATAAGTAGTATAATAGTTAATTTGAATATAGGGTAGGTAAGGCACTTTCTCTCGGCCAAATTGGCAAGCTTTTTTATAATTATATAAATATATAAAATATTATAAACTTCTTTAAATACTTTTATATAAAAGTAAATAATATAGATTGGAAGTATATAAAAATAAGGAAGAAAATTTATTTATTAAAACTTTTTAAACTATTTTTTATTATTATTAAAAGAATTCACATTACAAACTTATACAACTTTTTTTTTTAGTATTTTATATAATTTAGTAAAAAATAAAGTATACGAAAAAGGAATATAATTGTAATATACTTATATATAATTTTAAAATAATAAAAATCTAAATACATTTTAAAAAAAAGAATAAAAAAAGAAGCTATAACGTAAACCGAACCTATAATTTCAATACTAAGTAACTAGCATATTAATTACTATACTATAGTTATTAAAAAGTTTCATTACTTATTTTATTTATATACCTTCCTTCTTTTACTATCTTCACCAAACTCTCTCCACTTCTTATCTTCTTAGAATCTTATCCTTATTATTCATTACCACTCTTATTTTATTAATATCCTTATCTACATTTTATCTTACCTACCCCAATTTTTTTTTATAATACGAATACGAACTTCACGTCTAAAATACTACTAAGAAGTGGAAAGAATAAACGCGTAGACCTTAACCATTTCGAGTTATATATGCACAGCACGAGCCACAGTCCGCTACAAGGATAAGGAAAGAAAAGTTGATTAGTAAGGGTATTTGCCCCTATAGGTGTGAGTGGGTTCTAAGCGTAATAATCGACACTACGTCGTGCTCGCTCGGTACCTGCTATATAGTATAGTTTATCCTCTCCCACTAACTGGTATTGTCCCACAACTACAACAAACTAAACCCGGGATCGTGAAAAGGGAGAGAAGATGCTCAAGGACAAAAGGTCAATGTTGTCGTCAAGGTCGTAGAAGTGAAGAAATCGACACACTGTTGCATTGTTGCATTGCCGACTACACCCCTCCCTTTCTGGTACCGTCCAAGAATGTGGTGACTGTATCGACGTGCAACGGCTGATATGATTGAGCCTTTGACAGGAGGTCTGTAGCGAGGGTACCGGAGCCTTGGAATCGCAACTACATACCTACGTTTGTTTGAGAGAGACTATACGCGTGGCAGTGCCGGCTCAATCTGTGCCATTCAGTTAATCGCCGACATCCTTGGGAATCATGACGACGCTATGCTGCTCTGCAACGAAGCAACAACATGAGCATGCAGGTTCGGGAGGGCACCGCCAAATCAGAATGACAATGGCTTTCGATTCGCCGGGAGAACATATCTCGTGGTCTCTCTTGCATTTCCGCCTGCATATATCGTCGAACTGCCTACGAAATCTCGTATGTCGTGCCTTGCGATCTGTCATTATTCTTGGACAGACATCCTTCAACGTATCCTGCCCTTGTCTTGTGCAGTTCAAACAACGTCGAAGAACGCCTCAAACTTCGTGCCTGGATGGATGATCCAAGGCAAACGATGGCAAGGTCGGCATGCAATAACCCAGGGCAGAACAGACACTTGATAAAATAAACCACCACCGAATCAGAACTCATGTGCGGTGACGCTGATGGTGATACAGTCGCAAGCGGATTGGAGGACCGGAGTCGATGAGTTTAGAGTCTCACTCGACTTGAAAGTCACATCTCAGCCTTCAGTTCTTTGGAATCCTTATCCATTTTCTCCCATTACATCCGCGTCAAGCGTTAAAAGATATCATATACATGCGTGACTTCCAGGACAATATCATGGCTCCCCCCTGACGGAAAGCTCAAGATCAAAAAAAACGGCTCGGTAGTCTCGGAATCAGAGTACCGGGTCAATCAGAGTTGCTGAACACGAAGTCCTTCCTGCTGCTGCTGCAGACCATAGAACAGCTGACTTGTCTCTGGAGCAAATCGGTTGGATGACTGACTACCTGTGTGACATACAAAAGATCCCTCTCTTTACATCGACCTGCAGCAGCCCCATCTCTACCTCTACATCATGATGTTTTTCGTTACTCCTATAGGTTTCACGACGCCGACGATTCCTTCAGGATTTACTTGGATTGGATGATGGTCCTATACCTTGCCTTACCTTTGCCGTCGTTGTTCATTCAGGGTTTCAGCCTCCCATCTTAAAACTATTCTATTGTGTGAGGCGAACTACCTTACCTCCTCCTCATACTACTACTACTACTACTACACTACAAGATAAGCTCCCGGGTGGCTGGAACAGTGTCAAACAAGCAACCCGTTCAAAGACTAAACCTGCCGCGTCGGGGAGCAGCAACTGCCCTTCCGAGGTGGGGAGCAGTCTGACGGGGCGAGCCATGGCGCTTGCCGAGAACGACATAACATGGATAGACGTACATACCTAGGTCAGTGCCATTTATACTACTATCACCCGACGTGAAGTTAACCAAGAGGAGGAAATCTGCTGAGCTGTCCTGCCCCATCGACTTCTACTATACTCAGTGGATATCTGATTGTGAATGAACGGCGGAGTTGTGGTTCCTGCCTTATACTCAGATAAACCAGGGGAGTCTGCCAACCGCCATTGTAATGGTAATGAATGAGGGAGGCGGGGAGATGACGGGCCTCCTCCTCAAAAAGAAGAGAATGGAGCCATGACATTCGCTTTCATCCCAAAATCATCTCCTGCTCGTCAACGGTCGAAGCAGAACCCAAGAGTTCATAAGTCTTCCCGAAAACCGCTGGTTCACGGCATTTCAGATTCGAAACCTGCGATAAGTAGACCATCGAAGCCCACGAGGTCGGTTTTGTGGATTGAGAATCCCATGCAATACCCCTCAAGAAGGGTAATCAGAAAGATCTGGGAAGCGGATCGGTTTGACAGGTACAGGTGAATACGGACAAGGACAGTTAGAGACCTTTGAGAATTTGAAGATGTCATTTTGCCATCCATAGACGAGGGTATCTATTACTTTTTGTCATCACTTCTACTTTCACTCAGGGCCTGTTTCCAAACCTGCCCGAGCTTTTGCTATCAAACACACCACTTCCTCATGTACAGTTAGCCGATGCCTGCTGCCAGAGGGATGCCCGCCTCAGCCTTCCAATCTCAATCTATTCCTACTGGTCAAGGACACCTTATAAAGGCTCAGAGCTGTGCTGATGTTAGCTCCTCCGGCCATGTGAAGCGAAGAAAAGGGCGGGGCTTGCTAACATATCCTCAAACCAATATGCAATGTTTGACCACGTCATACTCAAAACAACCGAGCTCGACAAGGTGTAGAGCAGGGTCTAAGAAGAGACTGCTGATCTCTGCAATGGCATTAACACATATGCCGTAATAAAAGCTATTCAATGTCTCGGGTCCCTGGCACCCTGACAGATGAATACTCTTCTAACCAAACCTACAGCAAGCCTTTGGTTCCTTCCCCATCGTTCGCTTGGAGCTACGATGAACGCCCGGGACAACAGGCCGATGTTGCAAAGTAAGATGGCAGCCGTTAGGAGGCCTTACGACTCAAATGTTTCGCTTCGTTGTTATTTTGGGCGTCAGACGTTCTCTCCGCTTCCTCACCAGAGGCTCAATCTTGCCTTGGGCTATATCAGAGTCTTCGCTCGTATCTTTCTCCATCTGCTTCCGTATCCTTCGTCCCTTCAATCTCTGCATCCTTTTTCCGCATGGACTTGGACAGTTTCGGCATCTTTCTCCGGTTTTCCTGGTGATTTGGTGTGCCAGACAAAGCATCTGCAAGATCGGTCTTCTAACGCCGGGCAAACCCGTTGGGTGCTCCGGGTGGCGCGCCGAATCCCGGAGGAGGAGCAGCACCAGGAGGAGGCATAAAACCAGGAGGAGGCATAGATGCGCCAAGAGGCGGAGCACCCGGAAATCCAGCCGGAGGAGCCATGCCAGGGTAGATTGCCGGAGGCCCTGGAGGTACCGCGGGACCTGGAGGACCGGGAGGGCCACCACGGAAAGCAGTTCCTCCGGGGTGGAAGTCACCAACTGGACCCCCAAAGCCACCGTGACTGGGCGGTGGCCTTGCAGGGAGACCGGAGGGTGCGGGTGGGAGATTGGGTATCCGACCACCTGCGGGTGGCATGCCGGCACCATATGGGGGTCCAGAACGACCCATAGCAGCAGGACCGGGAGGAGGAACGCCATAGGCAGGAGCGGCCGCGACAGGTACGCCCACGGGGATGGGTACAGCTGGCGCCACGGCGGCGGGAGGAATAACGGCCGCGGTAGGGATGTCGGCAGCAGGTGCAATGCCGGGGGCAGGAGGCCTCGTCATGTGGAAAGCGGGCGGCAAAGGCTGTTGTTCCGGAACAATGTTGTGCTTCTTGCCCTCGGCGGCCAGCTTACGCTCGGCCTCGTCACCATGCCGCTCGCCCTTTCCGTCCTTCTTGTACGCATACTCGACGGTAATCTGTTTGCTCAGTAGATACTGGCCGTTCATCGTAGCTCGAGCAGCATCACTAGCCTCGAAGGAACCGAAACTGACGAAACCATAGCCCTTTGAGATGTTGTTGTCGTCTCTGACAATGTTGGGCTGCCGAAGGATCTGGCCGAACTGGCTGAATGTGTCGTACAGGATCTTTTCGTCAACCTGGGGATCGAGGTTGTTGATGAAGAGCTCGGCGCCGATGTCGACAGTCTTTTGCTTGTCCGCGCTTGCCTTGTTAACGCGAATTGGCTTTCCCCAAATCCTGATTCCGTTGAGGACCTTTGCTGCGTATTCGGCGGAAGCGGGGGTATCGAACTCGACGAAGCCGTAACCTTGATGTGTTTGCGAGACTCTATCCTGTGGCATATGTACCTGGCGTACGGGGCCGACTTGCGTCATGAGCTCGGAGAGCAACTCTTGGGTGAAGCGCTCATCGATGTTGCCGACGTACACGGTCGCATCTTTGTTTTGTTCCCTAGTCTACGCGTTAGTAGGAGCGCGACTTGGGATTCGAGGTCAGCGACAATGGCAAGTCAAGATTTGCGACTTACCAGTGTTTCGACATAATGAGGCGTGTGCCGTAGCACTCGTATGGCTCAAAGACTGTTTGGACTTGTCTGAAAGACCACAAAGGTTAAGCCGTATAGAGATTGCTAACGTCGCGGAATATCGGCTACAGCCAGAGTAGTATGTTAATGTGCAGAGAATAGGTATTTGATGGCTAGGTCAGCTTTTGGGGTTTCTTTCAGTTTTGGTCGAAGATTCACAAGCTTGACGTGACGACGAAAGGTGCAGTACCTAGTCGCGGTCCAGAACTATCTGTTGCCTGCCCGGTTCGCGCGCGGGTTATTAATCCTGCTAATAAAACCATGTCTAACTTCTTAGCGCAAGAGCCAGGTCATGGGAAGCCCAAGTTTATGGGCCTGTTAGCCGGTGTTTGCGGAGGGGTAATTGCAGCTCAGTCTAGTTCATTTAGTATGTCGCTACTGGCAGCCCCAGTGTGGCTGACAGGACGGCCCAAGCTGGTGCAACCGGCAAAAAGATCCAGAATATTTGGTTGTCCATCAAAGTGGGAGCCGCGTTCAACGTTTTGTTCAAGACCATAACTCGCCGCAGAACCCACCCCTTCCAGGCACGTACGGCAACTTGAACAACCCATTCATCAAGCCTCGAAATCTAACACAGAAACAGAACAAATCAGGCAACATGTTCGCCCTTTCGGAAGAGTCCAAGGAGCGCATTGGCAAGCTCATCGACATCTCGCGGGTCGTTGTTCACTAGTACGGCATCCCACCCGAGTTGCATTCCGTTCGCTCCGTCGTCGCCTAGGTCTCTGGATGCTAACATGATGTTCGCATAGTGGCTACCTGCCTTTGATCCTCTACCTCGGTATGTGTGCCTCGTCTGCCAAATTCCAGGATGCACTGGACAAGATGCTAACATCGCATAGGCTACACTCGCAGTGTGCCCCGGCCTTCCATCATCCGGTACGTTTGAACGAAAAGAAACGACAAATGATCGCGACCGTTGTTACTCGATCGACATGTTAAACTAACACCAAACAGCCTCCTCTCCCCGCTCTCCTAAACGACAAACAACGAAATCGGAGTTATGGGTAGAAAGTTTGGGTTATACATGTACTATTGTTTGCAAGCGGGCTTGACTCTGGACGAACGATGACGAGACGGCATCCCGAATGAGCATAAAACGACTTACACCGGAGGATCGAACATGACTACGTGGGACACGGGCAGTCATGAGAGGACTGGGACCGAGAGATACCACGATAACTGTACACTATAATCAAAGACAACTCTCTATCGAACAACCTTAGCGAAGAATATCGAAGGGACATCATCCGTGGCAAGGATGTATCATCATGAGGCGACATCTGAATCGCAGTACTTGACTGGCTTATACATATCCCTTTTGAACTTCTACGCCGGTGTGGTAGTTACTTGCACGAGAGCTGGAAGGCGACAGTCGCAAGCTCCGGATCGAACAGTTCTACGTCTACCCCGGCATGAGCTCTCTGTTTTGATCAGTGTTTATGCAAAGTCACAGCCGTGTGTATGGATGCTCCAAAGCCGGCAGTGTCTGTTACCAAAAGGCCATATGAGCAACCGAACAATCTAAAGATCCAGACAGCCGAGACCATCACCGTTCCTTCAAGATATGTTACGCGCTGTTACAGGTAAACTGACGCCAGTAACTGCAACCTTTGCGCACCCCTGTTCCATTTCTTTCCGGTTCCACTAAGCCAAGGGCCCTTGTGTAAGGCACCTTGCGTCATATACCGTCTCGACCCGCCTATCCGGGTCAACTGACACTAACATTTTCCACTGAAGACATCAACCCTTCCGTTCCGTTCGTCTGTCTTTACTGCCGAAGCCCGCCCGCCGCCGTCCGCGTCCGCCGTTCTTGCCGTCGATCGCGGCCACCGGCGCACACGCACGAGCCCGGATCAACTTAGAATATATACATTCGGGATCATGTAGCAAAACCTGAAAAAATAACCGGATCCGGTGTTTTCCCCCTTCCCCTTCTTCATATGACCAAATCCAGCGATGCGGGCCTCTCCCCGGCTCTCGTCGAGACGGTCGCCGGTCTTTCGGCCGGCTCAATGGCCACTCTGATTGTTCATCCGCTTGATATTGTCAAGACTCGGATGCAAGGTATGTTCACCGTGCTTCAAACTTTGTTTGGATAAACAACTGACTTTTTACAATCCAGTCCACCGAAGTAGTCCAACCAACCCTTCGGCAGCGCTCACCACCGTCTCCGTCTTCCGGAGTCTAGCGCAAACCGACCGGCCCCTCGCCGCCCTCTACCGCGGCCTCACGCCCAATCTCATCGGCAACGCGACCAGCTGGGCCTCTTTTTTCTTCTTCAAGTCCCGCTTCGAGCGACTCATCGCTCACCTCAAGGCCCCTCCTTCACCACCACCACCACCACCACCATCTTCACCTTTAGGTGGTGAACCTACTCTCTCCCAAAATGTCACCCCGGAACGCGAAACCCAAGCCCAAATCAAATCCCACCTCTCCCCCACCGACTTCTTCGCCGCCTCCCTCCTCGCCGGCGCCGCCACGCAAATCATCACCAACCCCATCTGGGTCCTCAAAACACGCATGTTGTCGACCGACCGGCTTGCCGCGGACGCCTACCCATCCATGTTCACCGGCGCCGTGCGCCTCTTCCGGAGCGAAGGGATCCTCGGCTTCTACCGCGGTTTGGGCGTCGGCATGCTCGCCATCAGCCATGGGGCGGTGCAGTTCGCTGTGTATGACCCCGCGAGGAGGATGTATATCGCGTCCAGGGATGCTAAGCGACGACTGGCTGGCCAGGATATTGCTTCGGAGGAGGGAGAGAGTCAAAGGATCTCCAACGAGGCGACGATTGTCTTGTCCACTGTCGCGAAGCTGGTCGCGGGCACGGCGACCTATCCGTTGCAGGTCATGAGGGCGAGACTGCAGCATCATCAGGCTGACGAGCTGTTTGGTAGAGGCATAGGAGGGGTGGTGGCGAAACTGTGGAGAGAGGAAGGGTTTAGAGGGTTTTATAGGGGGATGATGCCTGGTGTGGTGAGGGTGCTGCCGGCGACGTGGGTGACGTTTTTGGTTTACGAAAACGTCAAGTATTACTTGCCTAAGATGGTGAGTGGTGTTTGAGATGGGAAGGGGGCTGTTTTGAATTGAATTGAGTGGTACGTGGAGGGCGGCAATGTGGGTTGGGTGTGGTCTTTCTTGCTGGCCTTCTACAGTATTGTGGTGGGCTGTTATGTATCATCATCTTGTATTATCGTCTGTATATCTAGACTACCTGTATGATCAACCTATAGAGTATAAGAAATCCACACAAAAAGAGCTTGGGAATCCGTAAGGCCAGAGTTGAGGCCGGACCTCCGTTAGAATGTATGGGCTACAGGCACTTCTACATTCGAGCCATAACTTTGCTCTAGACGTCATGAGTTTGCTACGCCGCCACAAACCCCGACGAGCACGCGGTCACGGAGAGATGGCCTAATCTCAATAGATGCTCCCGCTTCAACCATGGGTAGACTTGGAAGTAAGTGAGGCTAGACAGTGATGCAATTCCGAGTTTACCCTTGTCTCGGCTGCTCAGTCCCATCCTAGTCTTCAGCTATCTTCCCTTTGTGAGACCTCCCCGGGCAACCCTTTTTTCTTCCTTCTTCAGCCTGTGTCGTTGAGGAATCCCACTTTATATCGGTTACAACGAATACCTTAAGGAAACATCAATTCCCAGACCAAGATTGAAAAGAACAAAGCATGCCCCAACCCAACGCCCCCTACGAAAACTTCTTTTCCACAAGCTTTAGTATATTGCACTAGTATACTTGGGGGTTAGCGGTGGAGTCTTTTGCCAACCCCCTCTAACCCCCAAGTAGTACACTACAGCCGATGAAAGGAAGCAAACCAGGCAATAATAAAAAAAAGATTTGATTCAACAATGAGCAGATAGAATAAATCCATGCTCTAGAGTAAGAAGCGTATGATATCCAGCCCTCATTGCCGAAAGCGAAGGAGTAAAAAAATAAAAAAAGAGAAGAGGACTGAACGCGATTTGAACGCGTGACCGTTCGGACTGCAGCCGAACGCTCTACCCCTGAGCTACCGGTCCATCTTTGATTATGAATGTTTATTTGATTCTTGACCCCATATACCCTATCTGTCACTAAGCCATCAGGTTAGTCTTTGTCCACCACCAGAAGGACTGATCGGACACTATTATTCATCCGCAATGCTTCCTTCAACAATTGTTTATTTTGCATGTGATCATGATTACTGCAAGAATGAAAGATTATGTACTTATTGGATTATGTTTAATTTTCGGAATTTTACAGGTTGACCGGGGCGCAAGTGAGGTAAACGTGATAGGTTGATGTTTGGAAGAGAGAGAGAGTTTATGAGCTAAGTGTACTGGAGCGTTGTTGAATCAATTGAGGATTTCCCGGATGTTTTCAATACGTTGCAGGTAAGAGTTTTAGGAAATGCAAGTAAGAAGTGGAAGATAACGAGGAGGCCCACTGACCATTTTCGTCGTAGTCTTCCTGGCGCAAAGCTTTGGGAATAGATGACTAACATTGATGCTCTTTTAACATAACCAATAACAAAAGTACACATTCAGTCTCGATAGAAGCAACAGGTAGAAGAAATGGTTTCAAAGAATTCTTATCCATTGCGGACTAAGTCCATAGCAAGCCATTAACCAACAGAAAGAAGACGGGCTAAAACCCCCCTCAAATGCCTGCGATCCTCTTGGTATATATACGTAACCAACAGGTGGTTTCCAATCCTCACAGAAGTGGTCTTTTTTGTCTCCCTTTTGCGTAACCAAACTTCACCCATTGGTATCTTTCCTTTTTTTGCAACCGGTCAAACCGGCCGGCCAGTCATCCTACCACCCGATGACCGATCAACCCGGCGCATAATACATCCATGCTTGTGTAAACATATCGTTCCTTTTGTTCGTCTCATGCTCCCACAGCGCCGCGCTGCCCCCATCGCTCCGGAACTCCTCGAGGGACTAGTATCCCTAATGCAACAAATCACGGATGCAAAATACCAACCAGATGCCGCTTGCCACCCCCCAACCCCCTGGACCCAGTAAATCTTTTTGACGAAATCCGGACCACCCAGGAAAAATACACACAAGAACTCCAAAGACAGTGATATCAAACATAGGAGATGGCCGGGCGCTATGAAAAGGAAAACGAGAAAAGGGAAGAGGAGGTCATTTACAGATAAGGAGAACAGTGTAAACAGAAAAGCGAAGTAGACTCGTCCTTTCGTACACATTAAAACTCAACAATAGTCGCATCACCATCTTGATGGCTGGCATTTTAGTACATCCGGTCGCCAAAGGCAAGTTCCCGGGGATGTTCCTCGTGATGGTAAATCGGTTCGGCTACTGAGCCGCGGCTGCTGGCCACAGTGTCGACTTCATGGTGATCGTAGGTTTCGTAATGGCTATGGAGGCTCGATCGGGGCATGCCGTACATAGCCGAGTGACTAGGACCCTGGTGATGGAGCGGAGGATGGAGCGGATGAGGAGTGTGAAGAAGTTGCGAGACTCCAGGAGCCGAAGGAAGAGGGTACTGGGAAGCCATAATGTTGGGAAGCGGCGAGTGGCCGATCGGGCTGGTGGGTGAGCTCAGAGGCACCGATTTCACCTTGCGATGCTTTCCCCGACCCTTGATGCCCTTGTTGCTGTTCTTGTGGACCTCGGCAAAGTCCTTGAAGATCTCCATATCTTCCTTCAATACAGTCGACCAGTCCTCAATGGCATCAAATCGTGCGGCGAGAGCCTTGATGGTCTCGTTGTGGTACTTGTTTTGGTGATACTGCAAGTAAACCGAGTCAGTTTGACACCTTGGCAAAAAAAAAAAACATAAAAGTGCGAATTCTCTCACCTTGAGATTTCCCCGCTGTGTAAACTGCTTGTGACAGTTGTCGAGTCTGCAGAGGAAGGCCTTTGTACCGAGATGTGTCTTCATGTGTGCCTTGACGTCTCCGCGTTGCACAAAGCCCTTGTCGCAAACCTCGCAGCGGTAGGGTCTCTCTCCTGTGTGACGACGTTTGTGTGTCTAAGATTTCGTCAGACTTTGTGGGCACTGTAGCCACGGTAGGGCTGAGACTTACCTTGAGGTTACCAGCTTGGGTGAACCGTCCACCACAGCCAGGAATAGGGCAAACATAGGGTCTATCTCCAGTGTGAGATCGAACATGGGTGTCGCGGTGCGTCTTCTGGGAAAACTTCTTATTACAGCCCTCGATTTGGCACTCGTATCGTTTACGCTTGTGCTTATCGGCCGGTTGCTGCACTCTTGCCTGACAAACGGGGGATGATTGCTAAATTATGTTAGACTCGCTCAGTCTCAAAATAAGGGTCCATCATACCTGTTCAGCCTTGATGTCCTTGTCATCACCGCTCTGCTCGGGGTCCGCGTCCTTCATCTTGGACTGGATGACCTTCATGAGCTTGTCCACAGCAGTGCTAAACTCGACTTGGGGCGCGCCGTTGACCGGGGTGTTAGGGGTGATGGTTCGTGAGCAGCTTGAGTGGTTCGAGATGGTCGTTTCCGTTGTAGAACCCTGAGAATCGCTCCGCTCCGATGGGCTCCTGCTCTCTTCACTGTATCGCCTCGCATTCCTGATATGATGCGGTCCTCTAGTATCCTCAAACTCAGGTGTGATCATGTGTAACGATGGTCGTTCCTGGTATTGTTGATGCTTGTTGTACGAAGAGTTCATGGTAGTAGGCGTAGGCAATGGGTAAGCCGGATACCCTCCGCCATAGGGCACAGGCGACTGATAATGCGCTGGCGCGCTGATGCTGTTGATGGAAGCCGTGCTCATCGATGTAGTCGGCATATAGTGGGGAACCAAGGAGGGCCGTTGTTGCATCGGCGCTGTGGTCATAGGCCGTGCGTTGTAAGGCATAACATCGGCGTCCATCATAACATAGTCGTTGCTGGGATGGTGCTGGGGCCAACGTTCCCAGCCCGCTGGAGCCGATGGTTGAGCCGTGAGTGCCATTCTGTTGGTAGGATATCTGTCGATGGGTGGAAGTACGGGGAAGGGCGAAGATGGAAGACGGCCAAGTGAGACAAACCAAGGTGGATTGAAGTGATGTCGTCAGTTAGGATTAGTTCTGAGTATTATATCCTCAAGCCCAGTGAGGCCCGAGTCTCTGGCAGAGATGAGTGGATGCTAGAATCTTGGGGGGATAAGATGGCATATCATTGCCTTGGGCCCGTACCTGTGGTATTATATGTATACCTCAGTATCAAAGATACAAGATGAGTGTGGGCTGACAGCAGCCGGGGTTTTCCATCCGGCGGCGCCAATCGATGTGCAAGCCACTTCAGGCCGAAAGATCTCGCTCTCATTTTCGAGGCCCTTTGGGGATTCCATAACGGATGGGACTCTCTCTCCTTGGGTTGACATCCCGGGCAAGCTAGGGCAGACAGAGTGGATGTACACCATGATCCAAATACGTACCTCTCCAGATGGGTGGTACTCTTGACAGTAACCTTGCCCTGCACGTCGATGCCTGTCAATGTCATTACGCACTCACTTTGTACACTACGGGGAGTATGAAGACGGTGCGCAAAAGCTGGTGAGGTACTAGCAGCAGCCCAGAGCCATAACCTGCGCTTACAGACAGGAAGAGGTGGCCCAGCCCAGAAACAATAAGTCCAGTCCCACTCGGGATTCCTGCTTCCGTTCGGCACTGGTCCTATCGCAGCCCGCGAGACCCCCACCAAGCCCGCTAAGCTCGACGTAGCGGATGAACTAGGACCCCCCGGTCCTCCAAGGCCCCCCGGAGTACGGCCAAGATACCGTAGGTGCACTTGATACTGTGTAACCAGGTCTCTGGGGATTGATGATGAGGGAGGATAGCCAGGGGGGTAGTCATGGGTGAGAAGCCAAAGCTTGCGAGGATACAAAGACGTACTGTACATATCTGTGTATGTATGCATGGGGGGAACTGCATATGTAAATACCTATGACTGGTATCCAGCACATGCGAGTAAGGTCTTGGAGTGGATGATGATGCTGCACTGTCGTCCGAGTAAGGCAAGCCCCCGGTGTTAAGTCCACTTCATCTGACCGGACGGGCATGACACGGCTTTCTCCAGACTTCACCGGGAGGAGATATGGGTGAGACCCCTCTAGAACGAGGTCTGGAAAGAACGTGTTGCTGGATCACCTATCTGGGCGAGGCTTGTCAGGATGATATGCTGGACATGTGTTGTTATACCTAGAGTCAACTGGCGAGAAGCTTCAGGAGCCGTCAGTGCCCCCCTCAAGTGCATCGACACAGTCATCACAAAGCCCCGTACGCACAGAGGGATGTGCCAGACAGATAGACTGCAGCCTGTCAACGGTAGGTAGCATCGGGGATGTGACAGGTAGAAACGGATCCGCGGGGGGGGGGGGGGGGGGGGGGGGGGGGGGGGAAGCCAAAGGAACGAAGGATGGCTATAGCACTATCGAGCCTGTTAATATTGCATAGTCGCAGTTTCGATAGCATTGGACATCCGGAAATGTCAGAACGGGATGACGGAAGGCGGGGGATGGGCCAGTACACAGTAGGCCAGGGTAGGCGGAGCAGATGGCCGGGAAGAACATCAGGAGGAGAACGAACTCGAGCGGCGACTAGGGGTTGAGGGAAAGAGAGAGGAGACGACGTGAAGAAAAAAAAAACAAAAAAAAAAAAAACATAATGTTAGAAGTGGAAACGTCCGTCAACTCGTGGTAAATGATCCACTGAGAAGATTAGATCCCGAAGGTTCCTGACTTCGGATTCTCATCGGGACGGGAGAGAAGTGGACATTTCAACCGTCGAAGGCAATGATGGACTCGGCGAGGCGATGGATGGAGATCCGGCATCAAGAATCTCTCCTCCACGCGCACCAATACCACATCCACTTGCCACCGGCGCGCCCGCCGAGGTAGTACTAAGGGTCGAGTCGAGGCCCATTGTATTCCAGCAAATCGGCAACTGGGGGGCTCATGGCCAATGGTGATGGTGTAGTGTATCCATCTGTACACTAAAAGCTTGACGGGCTTAGACGGGTAAACGGGCGTTGTGCTTGATGGATGCTCACGGCCGGGTGGGTGCCGCGTGTCCGTCTAAAAGGTACGGTAAGGTACGTAAGGTGCTTGCCTGGAATGGATGACGGGATGCTGGTCGGTAAGTATGAGCTGAACTTTCAAGTTGCGCTGGACACTGTGCACTGACCTCGAAATGGCAGACGGGAGTCTGGACTTTTTCAACCGTTGGCCGTCGAGTCTTGTCACGTCAGGCGTCAAGATTGCCAGTTTCCGTCCTGGTCCTTCGGGGCCAATATTTGGAAAACCCGAACACGACGGACGGACGAACTTCAGGCTTCGGTTCCCACAAGCAATCAACGAGTGTGAGTGAGGTGTCAACTCGGGCGAGGAGGTAAGGTAGGTAGGTAAGGTAGGTAGGTAGGTATCCTTGACGGTAGTAGAATTGACGTCCAGGTTGCAGCTCACCGGAAGCCACTCGTCTTGCCCCGTAGACCTCCCGTCGTCAGATCTCTGCGGCCATTGCATGGGGTAGGTTCCTTCCACTGCTGCTAAATACGTACTGTCCGAACTCGAGTCGCTCCTGCCGCCGCGGCCGCCTGTTGACGTTTGAGTGGGCAGGTACGCCGTGGATAGGGGCAGAAGCGGGAAGGGACTCTGGGTGAGAGCTTGTACTACAGTACGTACTTCCAAGGAGAAGAGGATTCGGCTATCTGTCCAACCAAAAAGGCGTGAGAAGAGGTGTGGGAGCAACACCGGCAGGCTGACAAGGGTTCGTTAGTGCCAAGGAGGGGCTTGCACTAGCCTTTTTGGGGCAGAGACCAGACTTGGGTGTCAAGGTTCTTGCGAATAGGAAATCATCCTCACTTTTGATGGTGGTAATCGATGCATCGAAGTGGGTGTGGAAGGGCAACGCAGAGTAGGTCGCAGGCCGTCATGTGCCGCGGACGCACATTCAGTGGGCGACTCCCCGCCGAGTCGCCAAAGTTTGAGGCTTTCCAGCAAAGACTCCAACTGAACTCCAGCTCCAACTCGGGGCGAGTACGGAAGTTAGGTATTCCTGACCATTACCACCCTGTTCTGCTACATGTACGTGCGTATGGTGGTAGAAATGAAACACAACGCTACACATCATCATCATCAATCTAGTGGCCGTTGGGCGTGTCGTTGATGATTTTCACAAGTGCGTCCGCAATGCTGCGTTGATGTCGGATTTGATATCTTGGAGTGCGTGCTTGTCTGGGCTCCACATGCGGCAGTTCCCTTATTGTCACACCTCCTTTTTTGTACCGTGTCTTGCTCTGGCTGTCGTCCAATTGCTCGCCAAGGTGCACAGCAGATGTCATTATCACCTCTTGGTACTGGTAGCACGATCTCACTGCAAAATGCGGTGGTATTGAATGTAGATCACCAAGGACCGCACTTCATTGTCTCCATGGTCAGTGTTGGGAGCAGACTTGATAATGTTATGTACCAAGCAAGAAGTGACTGTGAGAGCTCTGCGGGCATATCATGACCGAGTGTTCAGATGCCAGGACCAAGGTCGGACACCCGACAGAATAAGCCAAGGTGCTGATATAATATGCATTCCCAATCTCATGGTTTGGTTTCTCTTTCTCAGCTTGTAGGTCCGTTTGCGCACGTTAGTCCCAATGCTTTTTGATAGTAACTAGACATGTAACGTGAGAAATATAGAGGTATTTTACGCTCAAACCGTTGTGTATCCTATGCGCATGGTGACTCGAGGATGTTTCTCGAATGAATATGACCTTTAGTATAGGGCAAGGTTAGCCCAGGTAGACAAAACTCAACCGGTCCATTGGCTGATTTACATGGAAGTGTGCAGTGTATATACATGTACTGCGTAGACTAGAGGTAACAGTCGCCCTAGTATCAAGTAAACCCAAGCGCCGATCCCTACTTGCCGCCAATGAGGCTGCAATTTGCGATTGAATCCCTGCCTTGGTCTGCTTTCGACTGGGAAAGCCTTGATTCAATAGGCTTGGAATGGCCTCGGAAATCTGGTCTCAACGTTCGTTAGCCAGGCTGAAAAGCTCGCCGACAAGAAAGATGGTATGGCAACTGTGTTGCAGATCAGGCAAGGCGACGAAACGCGGACGTTTCAACAGCTGTTATGAACGTCAAGAAGATAAAATCAGGGTCCCTGATCCTTTCCAGCTCAAGGCTGCCGGGTGTGAAAACAAGTGAGGAGACACAATCGTCAGGGGCTGAGATTGTGCTGCCGCCTTCCTTTCCTCCTCGTGATGGCGCGCTTTATGAGACTGAAATGCCAGGGACCTCTGACCGTATGTGGCAACGGACGCGAACCGACAACTGGCGCACTTGAGGTGAAGGTCGAAGAGGTGCCCGCCCGAGGTGCCCGCCCGAGGTGCCCGCCCGAGGTGCCCTCTGGTGCAGGCCATCACAGCGGGATGGGACCCGGATACTTCCCAAAATGTCTCCATCACGATACTAAAATTATAAGGTGGCATCTGGTTGCGGCTCAGGCGGTGCAGGCGCCTGAGTCTCCATAAAGGTCGGCTATCTTGGTCGCTTAGCCCGGCAAAGCTGCGCGTTTCAGGGGCAGTAGGAAATTGAATTTGTCAAATCTCGTATCGAGATTGTAAGTACCTCTACTTACGGTATTTTTCGCTCCGTTCCAGTACGAGGAGTGCTGTAGGTCATGATGGCAAAAGAGCCGGAAGCCCAAGGCAAGAGCAGAAGTCGAGGGTTGTCTCGGATGGATCAATTTGACGCTCTTGCCGCCGGCTGATACTGGCCCAGGCCAAACACCCGCCGTGAACTACTGGAGCAAGTAGATATAGGTACCTCTAGAACTGAAGTAGATCTAGACAAAGCTCCAAAATTGTTCGTGTCTATCTCTCCTGTCATTTACATTAGCCCAAGTGGGCGAGAAGAATTGTAAGTTGCGTTCATTCTCATGACAATCCAATATGGCGTTGAACTGGCGGTTGTCCGTGCGTACGCTAAATTTCTCTACCCGTAGAGGTACCTGAAAAAGCGGACACCCTCCGCCATGGGTGCCCCACTCCGCTCATTCTGGATTTTCGAGTCACGGTGCGTGCATGCTGCACTGTGGCAGGCTCCCGACGCGTCATTTTGCGGAGGAACAAGCCTGGCTGGCTGGCTGTGCTCGACTGGCTGGTAAAGCTCCGGCTCCTGGGATTGGAAGCTGTCGTGAACCTCACGCCTGACCGCCGGCACAAGTTGAATTGGAAATCAGTGCGCGTGGGGGGTGGTGTACACGAGGTACAAACTGGAATATCAGCGAGAATGACCCCGGCGCAACCTATTACGTCTGCAGCAGGTACGGAGTACTGCGGTACCTAGCAACGGGGTGAGCCTCCGGCTTCAGCTCCACGCATGCACATGGCATGCTGTTCCGGAAGGCTCCCGGGGATCCACAGTTTACCACTCCGTTAATGCGGACGATGGAGAAGGAACGGCTTCGATTCGTTACCTCTACTATGCAGTAGGTACCAAGTTCGCACGTTGGAAGGATAAGGTGCACTCCTGGCACTTTTGGCACTCCAAATCTGGATGGACCTTTCCCTCCGGAGACTTTACGCGAATTTAGTGAACCCACTGAATTGCTCCACTGTGGAGGAAGTCTCAACCCTTCCGTAGATTTTGGTGGAAACCACGATCAAAACATCCATAACAAGGGACTTTTCAAGATGGGATTTTCAGAGATCCCATTGTCAAGCTTAGATACCTACCTCTAGTAGTGTTCGTTACACAACCATTCCTCTCTCGGCGTTCAAATCTAAGACACAAACCCTTGATCCAAGCTTCAGAATTCTAGACCAAGTCACGAACCCAGCAGCAAACACGGTGCTCCAAGTTCATCAACCAAACAGCACTGCAGCAGTCTGTCATACACCATCTACATTGTTTCCTCTACCAGGCTCTCCAAATTGGACTACTTACAGACCTCTACGGCACATCATCTTAGACCCGTTGCTCAACTCCCTATCTGCTAATAAGAGCATGGTTATCATTAGTACCGCAACTACGCATTCAGGGGAATAGATACGTATGCTTTGTGGATGATGCTAGGATTATGAGCGAATCCTGATAAGATATGCATACGTACGCAGCCAAGAGCGGGCGAAACTGCCCGCATTAGCTGTCACTTTCCCCTAATAAAAGAGAATATCTCTTACACGTGTAGAAGCGGTATCCCCAGACTTTCCACCGCACTTCTCAACACTCGACGTCAAGGGTCCAGGGCAGCGCACATCACCGTTGACCTCCCTCTCACATATGTACCAGGTCTAGGCCCAGCTCAAAGGGGACGTTCTGATACGATGCCAACGACGATGCCATGGCGGAGATAACGAAACCAATTCCCAGGCATCCCTACATCGGAGTCGATCCGTACAACGCTAAATGGCCCAGCAGCGCCCAGCAGCTTGGGGTGATTTGTTGGGCATCCACCGTAGGGATCGCTTCAGCCTTCGGTTTCAGGGTGAAATTTTGGCGCTATCCAGGAAAATGACTTGTCAGTTCTCATACACAGCGCAGTGAGTGTCGGTGTCGTTTATCCCGTTGCTGTCAACATGTCAGTGTCACTGTCAGTGTCAGCGTCCCGCGGTGTGGTGTGTCAACCACGGCACCCTGCCCGTCCGTGCTGGTAACGCGGCACTACCGTTCGGTACCGTTGTCTAAGGAGAAACCGATCCTGCAGTCTCGCACACCAGATCTGGATGGACTAGAACATCCCTTGAGGGTGATACCCATACCCTCGCCGAGATGCTCTCCCGGTTGGGGTCTTTTGCAAACGCCTCTTTCTGGATAAGGTAAAAGCACCCGACGGGAATTCATACAGCCGTCTCGCTCCTAGGGCTGGACTGTACATCCAAACTTGACGCCTACCAACCCTACGCCCACCCCGGCGAACTGTCAAGTCTGTTCCCAATGCAGTACCGCGGTAACAGGGCGTTCAATCCCCAGCCTACGATCTTGCTACTGTGTACAAGTCCCCCACCATTTGGAGTGCCCAGTGCCCCCAGACGTAAGTAAAGAAAAAATGCAGCCTGATCCCAGTTTGTCTCTGGCCCTCAGGCTATTTACTCCCAACACAGCATAGCGCCATCTGGTCATCCGGGTACGTGGTCGTCGTCAACCTATGAGAATCGCAAGCTTGCAGCGGCAGGTCGTGCATGGCGCCTTTTTTCATCGATCCGCTGCAGTGGTTCACCCGTGCCCTGCCAGCGCCGGCTTGTTCCCAGCGAATCGCAACTCTTGCCCTTTCACGCTTGTTTGCTTCCGTTGGTACACCACGGTGACGCACGTTAGACCAACTGGCCCCCAGCCGGCACCTGGCAGGCTGGAGCACTCTGACCTAGGCCAAGGTTGACGCCGGCCCGGCGCCTGATGATTCAACTTGCGGACCGGTGGAATTCCAACGGCCACATGGCACAACGACATGTATGACCATATAATGTCTTGAGAATTCAAGGTCCAAGTTTGGTCAACTCTCGCTCATGACCTCATATGATTTCTCTACGGCTGCTGTTCAGATGAGGACAATGATGGACATGTTTCCTGGCTACGTCCACTGCTATTTCCATCGATTACGTATTGAGGACGTTAATGTTGCTGCGGTTATTAACTGTTGTTGTCAACGGCTGCCCCAACAGCCGGAAACTGCTCGTTCCGTGTTTGGGGAGCAAGGCCTTCATTTAAGTCGGACGAACTTGTTCCCTAGCGTATCGGTTTGTGGCGTACCACCACCGGGGAAGCAAATTGATCACCCCCAGCCTTGGCAAACTTGTAAAAAAAAACTGTAATGTCGACCCCTGACAGCGAGCAGATGGCCCCCATGAGCCCCCCTTCAAACCCCCTTTCCTACAAATAATACCTCGTTAATCACGAGACCACCAGCCCTGTTACATGGTGGTCGATACATACCCCGGACTAACCCTTCAGGACTACCCATTTCAAGCATCGGCTGCTTCTCGCTCTTGCTTCCGACCCTTGTCGTCATTGAAGCCCTGTCGGTTCTCGTTCCAGTGATCTGGTTAATGGGCGATCCCGCCTTTCCCAGCTTGGGGGTAACTTGTACTTCACAAGCAACCAAGAAACAACAAGAAAAGACACGGAGGAACGTCCGAATCGTGATGCTTCAGTGCAATCACTCAGGGCTGTGCTCTGGTACCCTGTTCCAGCTTGCAATCATCCAGCCATGACAAGATTATCTCATTATCTTTCCAGGCAATCGTCATCAGTCTTGTTGCGTCCTACACAGTAACAAAAACTGCCATCGAAAGAACCACAAAGTCGGTACAGATGACACGGAACATCACGCCTACTTTGAGCCTCTGTTGTATTACGACGACAGAGAGGCACCAGGTCACTATCGTTACTCTCTCCTGGCCCCCGAAGCGTCCTTCCGGCCCGGTTACACAGCGCATCCGGCACGGGGCCACATGAAAGGGACCACGATTCACCAGGCACCGGATTCTTCGTCCACACGATACTGCTAGGCCA